AAAAGGATAGTGAAAAAAATAAAAAAATACATAGATCAACAACACAAAGAACTGAAAGGCCACCAGCATGGAAAAGGGATTTCATAATGTTTCCGACAGCCTGGAAGCTGATGAGGCTCCGTGACTACTAAATTATTGTGGGGGCTGCGGCTGGGGAGTCTCACCTTGGAGACTCTGAATGCCAGGTGGGTGGGAGTCCCATGTGGGGCTGAAAATCACTCAGTTCCGTGGGATGCCTGTAGTAAGATCACTTCATGGATTCTGTCCTCCTTCCACCCCTGCCATGGATACAACCAAGGACTGGAAACCAGATATTTATCCCTCTGCCTCATCTCTGAAGAAATGCACAGAATTGTCTCGGGAGACCCCCTGATGCTAGTTTGGAAGGCAGCTTCTTAGAAGGGGAACCATCCTAATGGCCCAGTCTCTGAGTCAGACCCCTCTGCCCAGGACACCGGCCTCTCTGGGGTTTCTGTTGTCTCGTTTTTAAGTACGATGCATGACCATGATTGCCCAGATACTCCAGGAGAGCTCCTGATCAAAGAGGGCAGGATGAAATGAAGAAATAACAGCCCCCAGGAAGCAGAGAGGACCCAGGAAATAGGGGAGGAGAAACAACTCTCATTCCCATATTGAAAGGTTTTGCAAAGGACGTCTTGTTAAACAAACAAACAAACAACTTTTAGAAGGAAGGAGCTATCAGAATCAAGAAAGAACCAATGCAAACCCAAACTGTGACCCACAGAAGTAACTCAAAGAAGGGTTGATTGGAAGTAAATTCAGAAAATTGCCCAGAAAGACAGGGAAAAATGATATATCCTGTGTGTCTAAATGCTAGCACATAGGGATGGTACTCAAACTCCCTTCCAGTGGGCTAGAGTGGGTGTGACTGAAAATGACCTTTCTCTTTGTAATTACTCTCCCCATCTCTCAGAGAATGGGTAGGCACAGTGTGGCTGGTCTCAGACCTCTCAGAACAGACCTGTCTGTTCTACTGTGATGTGGGAATGCATTGAGGAGCCTGGGCTGGCAGTATTTGTCATCCTGATCCCGGCAGGGGTCTCTTTGTTCATGATCTGCCTGCATGGGCAGCCCTGATGGAGGGCTTTGTACACACAACCCGATCTACACTGATCACGTCCCTGAGAGGTGGCCCGGTGTCGGACTCTATGTGGGTGTGCACTTGATGGGGCTCGAAATCCAACATTAGTGGTGTTTTCCCAAATTGTGAAAAAGTGATGCTAATCTTCTCCCTTTATCTGGGACTCAATTTATAGATAGCTTGCTTGCTTTTTCTTTTTTGACAGACATGGTCTTACTCTGTTACCCAGGCTGCAGTGCAGTGGTATGATCATAGCCCACTGCAGCCTCAAACTCCTGGGCTCACACCATTCTCCGCTTCAGCCTCCCAAGCAGCTGGGACTACAGCCACCCACCACCATGCCCAGCTAATTTAAAAAAAACAAAAAACAAAAAACAAAAACAAAAAAAACTTTGTAGAGATGGGGTCTTGCTTTGTTACCCAGGATGGTCTTGAACTTCTGGGTTCAAGTTATCCTCCTGCCTCAGCCTCCCAAAGTGTTGGAATCTTGAAAGAGAAATGTCCTGCAGAATAAAAGTTTGTATTTTTAAAATATCTACTTAGAAGTTTAAGTCATCACACTGAGCAATACCAATTAGTTTCCATTCCAGTGAATTCTAAGGAATTACAAGACAACTTTTATGGTACCAGAATTTAACTGACTTAATCAGTGGTTAGAATAACTCCGTGGACTAGGAATTATAAATTGATTATACTTAGTTTTTATTTTATGGCAGTATTTATTGTCATAGGTTTATGGTACATTTGAAAATCGAGAGCTAAATGTTGAAATAGTTTTTCTTGTAAAATAGCAAGATTCTTGAGAATGTTTCTTTTCTATTTTTTTAACCTAAGGTGGTCTGTATACTCTTATGGCTTTATAGATACATCCTCTATGGAGAACAATTCATTTAGATATTCTGTGGCTCATAAAAGGATGCTTGAGTCTTGTGCAGACACATGTAAAGGAAAGCTATGGGACCTCTGGAACTTGAGGCTTGCAGGATGTAAATGTCAGAGCTGTCCCTAGTGTTCCCTTGCTGTGACTTTGACAATTTAAATTTCAGCATTGTGTGGTGACTTCATAGGGTGCTTGCCTTTTTTAAAAATTTTCACTTAAATGTTAACTTGAATCATATGCATGTTAGAAAGAACCCTGTGGAAAATAGAACTTTCTTCCAGGAGTGGTTATAGACGTCTTGTGTTAGGCACAAGACTGTTTATCGCTGGATTATAATAATTGTTATTTTTCCTAATGAGATATGAAATGCTTATTTATGGGATACAGTTGTATATTCTGTTCTAATCTTGAAACTTATGTGAGTCGTTTTCATATCTCCATCATGCCTGCAATTTAAATTGCTGATTTATCTGTTTGCAAAAGCTTCGGAGAATCAGAGATTCTACTAGAGAGATTCCGTGTGAGATTGGGCTCTGAACACTTGGGGGGTTAAGGCTGTTTCCAGCTTTTTCTGTGAACTTGGGCAAGAGTTAGTGAAGAAGAAGCATGTATTCGCATTGTTAGGAGGAAGCAGTAAATGAAAGATCTTCGCAAAGCATAAGGTGAGTACAGATTTGAGTTCATTTGGCTTTTTTGTGTTTGCTTTTGTCTCAGTGACCCTAGCCACAAGACGGCTGCTTTTAGAAAGGGTGCAGCATTTGAAAAATGATGACTACATTTATAATGATAGCACAAGAACATGGTTTTATGCTCAGCCTCCCAAAGTGCTGAGCATGCAATATTTTTATATTTGTATTTCTGTGTGAGTATGTGTGTCTGAAATAAGGAAGGTAGCATTTTATTTGAGAAAAAAAAATCTAGTGGTAAAAGTGGACAAACAGATGAGTTATTCTTTATTATAAGCAGGTTGGGACTAGGACGTTGCCATCCATGTAAGGGAAAGCTGGAGTCGGCCTTGTTTGCCTCAGTTCCGTGCGTGTTGGTTTTGCTCTTGGTCTGATGATCGTCCTTGGACATGGGTGGATGTTGACTGAGAGGCACGTTAGTGGTTAAGCAGCAGGTCTGGCCACTGCTTAGCTTATATGTTGGTCTCCATTCTACTGGCAGTTCTTCCAGAGCTCATTGGAAGTTTCAATCTGGATATCATAGGTATGAATAATCAATAACCAGCAGATTACAAAAATGTATGTAATAATTTAGTACATGTTTGTAATAAAGCAAGAGCTAATATTTATAAATTTCTTGGTATGTGCCTGGGATGGTTATATTTTATTTGCATATGTCTCTCCTTTAGTCCTCAGAACACCCCTTATAAGCAAAATATTGTTAGCGACCTGACACCTTTGACTGGCTAGGAAAGAGTCTAAGAGAAATTGAGTAAATTATTCAAAGTCATACATCCAGTGATGGAGGAACCCACCTTAGTGCCCAGATCTGTCCCCACCTACTTATGGCCATCTTCCCTTTTGTAGTAATTTCATTGCTTTAGGTTTGAGCCAGAAGGATTGCATCAAGCCTTTGAAGAACCTAAAGAATGCACAAGCCACTTAAATCTTGAACCTTCAATGGGGACGGAGTGAAGTCCTGGTTGGATCCTGGGCTGCCCACATGGAGAGCCTGCTGTGGTGGGTGGGAATCTGGGGCTAGGATCTTGCTGTCATTTCTGCTGACTTTGCAAATCCATCCCTTGGTTCACTGGGAAGGCTCAGGCCCCTCAGGGATGTGAGTTCAGCCCAGTGGAGCCTTTGGAGATCTGTAGCTTGGGAGACATGCCAAGAAGGTTTGCTTTTCACAGGTCTTGGGTTCTAAGCTTGTAGAATGTTGCCCAACATGGCCTGATATTTCTTTTTCAAAAGATGCCTCAAATGCATTCCTTCCTTGTTCACAGGGTTGTCACCCCTGTTTTGGGTCCTCTCACGTTTCTACTTGGATAACTGAAGCAGCCTCAGTTTCCCTGCTTTTAGACTCTTTTCTTGCCATTCGAACCCTTATACTATTCTACTCTTTATCACTTTATAAAGAGATTTCCTGTTTCTTAAATGTCTGTGTTGATTTCCCACGCTGTCCATAGTTTATTGCTACCAGTCAATATTATTTCCCAGTGCTGTGCACGTGGAGTGTGCCTTAACCTGGCCGTTTACTGTGCAATTGTCCCTTGGGGAATTGGCTCTAGGACCCCCAAGGATACCAGAATTTGCAGATGTTCAAGTCTTGAACAGACAATAGTATAATTCACATATCACCTATGCACATCCACCTGCATACCTTAAATCATCTCTGGATTACTTACAGTAACTACTGCATGTAGATGCTATGTAAATAGTTGCTACGCTGGAGTTTTTGGAGAATAATAACAAGGAAAAAATGTACATGTTCAGCAAAGATGCATTCCTTTCATGTATTTTTGATGCTCAGTTGAATTGAACCCAGGGATGGGGAACCCATGGGTACGAAGGGGGACTACTTATTTCTCCCATTTCTCTGTTTCTCCATTTCATCTTCAATCCGCCCCTCTTGTTAGTATGTGCCCATTTCTCTGTCTGCAGGTTCCTTCTTCTTCTGCACCTGTATAAACCTTTCATGTCGTTTGGGGCCTGGCTTGATTTTCCCACCTGAAAACCCTTCTCTGATGTCCCTAGCCTCATTGGTCTCTCTCTTTCTTTTTGGAACCTCCTAAATTGTATACTTTCTAATTCCTTTGTGGTTTGTGAGAGGTTTCTAAACAGGTCATAAGACTTCAGATTCTTTCATCTCCTTGGTGCCCAGGCATGTGGTAGGTGCCGAGTCACCACTGACAGATGCATCTTTGGTCTCAGTTTCTGTATTTACTTAAGCATGGTGATGAAAGTCAAGAAAAATACTGAAATCACACTTACCTAGAGAGAACTGCTATGGTTTTAAGTTGACTGGATACTTGGCTGCTGTGTTGAAGTGTTTTTTTCTCCTTTGTCTTGCCAGCAATCAAAGAGAAGTACACAGACTGGACTGAATTTCTCATACGTGACTTGACCGGTTCGAGGACAGCACCTGCCAACCTCCTGGAAGGTGTATGTATTGTTGTTATACATCTAATCTATCTCTGAAGCACCCCAGTTGCGTGAGCTCAGACCTGACAGCACCTTTGCATATATCCTTCTGCAGATGCGTGCTTTCCGCAGACACTGCCATCCAAATAGCCTCCCTTCCTGTTTTGTCCTGAATTACTTAGGTGACTGATTTGAATGGCGTTGATGAAACCTCCCCTGTGATGCAATCAGCAAATGGAAAATTTGCTCCTTGTGAATCCAATTTTAAAGCACATTATACTAGGATATCTTCGCACTATCCTATATGTTTAAACCTCTTTCCTATATGAGTGAATATAAATTAAATCCTGTGGAATAACTGTTTTGAAAGGTGACAAGATTATGTATGTGCTAATATAGTCTCTTGGAGTACCTTGATAAGTGGTTCCATTAAATGTTCTATTTCGGATGCATAAGCCCAAGATTTGAACATACACATGTTAACCAATAATTGAATTAACTTTCCATGTAAAAACAAGGGGAGAAATGACAGATCGTATTTCAGTGTAGCCAAGGAAATTTTAATATGTTGAAGAAAAAACAGTTTAATCTGAAATGTATTTGAGAGTAGCCAAGGAAATTTTAATATGTTGAAGAAAAAATAGTTTAATCTGAAATGTATTTCAGAGTAGCCAAGGAAATTTTAATATGTTGAAGAAAAAATAGTTTAATCTGAAATCTTGATGGTTTATTTGAAAATAATTTTATGATGAAAAATTTTAGGATTTATATTTTGTATTTATTTACATGATAGAACAGGAAGAGAAAGGCACAGTGTCATAAATAATTATTGAAATACCTAGTCTGTTTTTCTTAAGAATGCCCCTAAAAAGGGGAAAACGGTGAATAACAAGTAATAAGGTGTGGAATTCGACAGTATCATATTCTCTTAACCTTAAGCTTTCCCTCTTTTCTTAAATGATATTGACACTTCAGAACGTCATTGTCTAATATAGTGAATGGGTTTTGTTTTGTGAAGATTTTGTCTGATGTATTCGTTATATATCTTCATAGCTGCCTATTTTAATTTTTCATTAACAAATCAAAAGGATGATAGTTCATCCTTTCAAAAGGATAAATTGTCTTACTGTGTTGATTTTCTAAAACATATTTGCCTACAAAGCTGGCTGAACAAACACCCTTTTCATATGCTATCATGTGCTGAGACCGTTTCTTAGAAGGGGCAGTAATTATAAATGCTCTAAACCAATTATCAGGTTAAGTGTAGAAACAACTTCACATAGGAGTCTAATTCAGCTGATTATTACTGTGTGTTAGACGTGTCATCAACACACACTCTTGCTTTCGTCACATAATCAAAGTTTGAGAGCATCTTGGTTGTTAGAGTAGTCGCCATTAGAGTAAGATGAATGTCTGGGAAGAAGTCATGGTATACGTTGAATGCCCTGTATTGGAAATATCTGTCTATTGGGAAAGTAGACAGTTTGCCACTACATATTTTCTAGGTCCAGGCAAATTTGGGCAGAACTCTTCTTAAAAGCATACTGATTCTTAACAAATGCAATTATATCTGGGAAGGGTGATTTGTTTGGTGAGAACTTAGCACAAACTGTTACTTTCTATTGACTTGTGAATTTTTTGTTGTTGGATATGGAATGGGGTACATGAAATGTGTGGGAGGGAGGGAAGGGAAGGGGCGGGGTGGGGCGTGGGCTGGCGAAGATGGGGTGGAGGGAACACCAAACTGTTTGCCAGTACCTTGGATGATGGTGTGAAAAAATATTATCTTCTGCTGTCATCTGTTTCCATGAGAACCTTAAAATAAAGTTTAAAATAAGGAGTTTTGCTTCTGTTTAAACAGCCTCTGCGAGGGAAAGGCCCTATAGACCTCATTACAGTTGGTTCCTTAATAGAACTTCAGGATTCCCAGAGCCCTTTTCAGTACTGGATAGTTAGTGTGATTGAAAATGTTGGAGGAAGATTACGCCTTCGCTATGTGGGATTGGAGGACACTGAATCCTATGACCAGTGGTTGTTTTACTTGGATTACAGACTTCGACCAGTTGGTTGGTGTCAAGAGAATAAATACAGAATGGACCCACCTTCAGGTAAGGGCCAAACCTTTTGCTGCTGTAAAGTATTTTAGAAAAAGATGTGATGCTTTCCTGGATGTGTTTCTAGAAAATGTATTAGCTCTGTGGTATCTTTTATATCTGAGTATGTGAATATCAAGCACTTTAACTTCACAATGCTTTCTATAGAGACTGAAACCTAAGACTTCAATCAATAGTGTTCTCAAAGGGGAGAGCAATGTTGGAGGCCTTAGGGAAGGAAGTTGGTCTAGTTCTTTGGAATAACTGTTTCAGAAAGGAAAAACACAGTAGATTAGGACTTGAGCATGTTCTCCATGCATTTCTTTAGGAATTTTGATAGTCTTGTAAGTAGGTTCCAAAATCTCTGTCCATCTGTGTACCCATTTCTCTGTCTGTCCATTCACCTACTCATCCATCCATATATCCCTTTATCTGTGTATCCATTCATCTATCCATTCATCCACCTACCCATCCAGCATTCATGTATTCCTCCATCCATCCATCCATCCATCCATCCATCCATCCATCCATCCATCCGTCCGTCCATCCATCCATTCAAATAGCCAAACCACAATCCAATCTGACCAAGAAACAGCACTGAGTAAATAGATCGTCATGCTATTTCTCCTGGCATGTTAAGATTTTGGTTAGCTTCAAATTCACTGTCAGATGGCTTTGTAGAGGCTTAATTGGATAGAATAGTGCCTTACACTCTCTGCCATACCCTACCTAGTTAAAAATCTCGGTCTTTAAAAAATAATCATTTTTGAATGTTTACTATGTGCCAGGTGATTTTACATCCGGTATGTTGTTTCGATTCTAAAAAAAATTAATGCATGCTTGTGAATGTCACTTCACAGCAGAGAAAATAAAGATTAGAGTTCAGCTAGCTGTCCAGGGTCCCCTGTTTGAGGAGACAGGCAGTGCAATTCAGATTCCCACGCGTTGGGCCCCTCCCACCCCACTCCCCTTACTGCCTCTTCTTACCAGCCTTTGAATGGGAGACCTCAGAACAGAAATATTGGATTCTTGTAGAATTAGAGATGCCAAGGAAGAAATATGTATTTTTTTCAGAAATTGGTAATCTTCATTCTGGTCAGTTTTGTAGGTGTATCTGGAATAAGGACGTAGCTCTTCGGCTCTATTTAAATCACCAGAGAATTTCCTCCCCTGTTAGCTGCTGATGTTAGCCTTGAGTACGTGAAGGAGAGGAGTTATCTTTCCTGTCACTCAGAGGCTTTAATTGAACACGCTTCCTGGTCCCGTGTCCTGTGTGTTTGCATTTGTGTTAAGTTTGACAGGCATAGAGACAGGTAATGTGGTATTTTATGAGTATTACTGTTGTCACAGTTTTGAGAAGCAGCCAACACCTCCATCTCTATCCTGAGTGATTTTTGACTTTGATAACAAACCAAGAGCCTGTGATATTGTAAGGAAAGGATGTAAGCCCGGCTTGGCGCTGGGATTCATAACCTAGCAGGAAAAATTTACTTTGTGGATGAAGTTGTGTGCATAAATCTCCGCTTAGTGTCTAATTGCTTTATAAATTTTAGGAGCAATATCTACTTGCTCCTAAATATATATCTACTTGCCAGTGTACAGATTTATAGCAAAGCAAAGGATTACTAGTGGCTTCTTATGTTCTCTGTGATATTTCATTCCTGAGAAGTTTTGGGAAAGCAGCAATGGGATATGCCTTCGTGGAAACTTAGGGAATATTTGCTTATGAACTGTCTCCCTCTTTAGATAATTTGGGGTCTTTGTAATATACAAATAAATTGTGTTTATATGTCTAAGCATTTTCTGGAAACGAGTTCATTTAACTGAAGAGTTCTTGGGGGCCTTTGAAGATTCTGACACAGGCAGGGCATGATGGCTCACACCTGTAATCCCAGCAATCTGGGAGGCCAAGTGGGTGGATTGCTTGAGCTTAGGAGTTTGAGATCACCTGGGGCAACATCTCTACAAACCCCATCTCTACAAAAAATAGAAAAAAACTAGCTGGACATGGTGGCATGCACCTGTAGTCTCAGCTACTTAGGGGGCTGAGGTGGGAGGATCGCTTGAGCGTGGGAAGGAGAGGCTGCAGTGAGCAGAGATCACTCCACTGCACTCCAGCCTGTAAGACAGAGTGAGACCCCATTAAAAGAAAAAAAAATATTCTGGAAAAGACATTCATCATCAAGAACTTACTTCCCCAACATTTAAATCATCTGCAGGAAAGGTGATGGTCAGGCAGAAGAAAACAAAAAGTGAAAAGACACTCAAAAGTGTGACTTTGAGTTCCTCAAACACAGTAGTTTCAAGATGGAAACTGGATTCTGTTACATCACTCAGCTGAACGGCACCCTCAGGAAGACAGGCTATTATTACCCCTTTTACCCGCACGGGGACAGATTCTAGTACTTCGGGTTTGTATAAATTGATTTCAAGTCCCATGATGACTTGTGTAACTTACATGGTAGCACCACTTCCTTAACTGAAATATAGCTGAGAATAAAACTTCATACCTGCATAGAAAATAGTAAGCCGGTTTTCTCCTTTTCCCGAACACCGTGAAATCACTGGAAAGTGTTCCACTTCCACGACTGGTGGGGAGAAGTCCAGTGGGAGGGAGGTGTGGCGTGGTGATGAGCATCTTGCCCTGGGAGCTCTTCCTACCACTATTGTGAAAAATAATCACCCTTTACTTTTACTTCCTTTTTATTTTATTTTATTTTTTGAAGCAGGGTCTCACTCTGTCTCCCAGGCTGGAGTGCAGTGATGTGCTCTCATCTCACCACAGCCTCAACTTCCCAGGCTCAAGTGATCCTCCCACCTCAGCCTCCCAAGTGGCCAGAACTACAGGCACGTGCCACCATCCCTGGCCAACTTTATAATTTCTTATTTTGTAGAGATGGGATCTCACTATGTTGCTCAGGCTGGGTTTGAACTCCTGAGCTTAGGTGATCTGCTCACCTCAGCCTTTCAAAGTGTTGGGATTATAGGCATGATCCACTCCATGAGGCCCTCGTTTTACTCTTTAAAGGGCGCAGTATTTTTCAGCTGTTTAGCACAAAAGAGAAATGGGTCGTTGAAAGTAGCTAGGAAGTTAGCTTTCAAAAACCTGGGAAAAGAGATCAGACTTTATACTCTCCACCTCTGAGAAACATAGGGCCTTTGCGTCTTTCTGTTTCTGCCAGAACCAGAGGAAATAGCATTCTGGTGCTTGGGGAAAGAGGAAGGGAAAGAAGCCACCTTATGCTGTACAGTGGGGATAAGGAGACCTTTCTGGGCTGCTGAGTGGTGTAATGCATATCAAGAGATTGGCCTTTTCTAGGGATTCAATCCGTGATCAGAGTCTTAAGGTTATACTTTGGTTTTTCAAGGAGTGTAAGTAGGTCATTGAGGTTAGGGTCATTTAAGAAACCCCACCTGCTCTCCTATTTCTGAATGTTTAGACAGTAAGATAGACTTGTAGATATTCCTGCAGATGCTCAAAAGATGAAACTTTTTGAGGTTTATTTTCTTCTCTATTTCTAGAATTTATTTCCTTGGTTTTTTCCTTCAAAAATTTTTTATCTTTTTTTAAAGTGCTTATTTTACATAGTTCTTAATGTCAGGAAGTTTCTGAATCAACTTAAAATACTTCCTGCCTGAACTGTTAGTCCAAAAGCTAGTTGGACTGAGTTGGACTATATGAATTTGTGTAAGCTGCCACAACAAAATGCCACAGGCTTTGTGGCTTACGCAGCAGACATTTCTCAGAGGTCTGAAGGCTAGAAGTGTGAGATCAGGGTGCCAGTGTACTTGGGGTCTGGGGAGGGCTCGCTTCCTGGTTTGCAGATGGCTGCCTTCTGATTGTGTCCTCATGTAGTAGATCAAGAGAGAACTCTGGTATGTCTTCTTATAAGGACACAGATCTCTTTGAGGGCCCCACCCTCATGACCCCGTCCAACTCTAATCATCTCCCAAATATATCCCTTTGGAGTTAGGGCTTCAGGTAAGAATTCTGGAGAGAGACAAACATTTAGTCCATAACACTTTCTGATATTTACCATCTCTTCACAACATAGATTCATCTTTCTTCGCTGGGTATGACCTGGAGGAGCAGGAGGAAATGGAAGTGTTTTGGAGGCAGGTGCATAAAAAAAGGGTTGTCTGTCAAGGCTTTTGTTTATCCATAATTACGTTATGCATTCCTGTTTCCTGCGGCACTTACTAGGAAATGCCCCACCAAACCCTTGCAACAAAGGAGGTGGCCTCATTTTTCTAGTAGGCTTCTAGTTACAGAGAAATCGGGACACGTCTTAATTGATCACGGCCTTCCCTGAAACAGAAACTGGCATGATATACTTTATTCAGTTATCTGCAACACGATCATTTTAAGAAAGTGGTCTATGTTCTTTGAAGCGTCCTATTTCTTGTCCATTAACTTGCCAGTATAGCCAGCATGCCTGCGTCTCACAGAATGCACATGGGCAGTGTTGTTCTCTTGCTGGTTGTTGTCAAGCTGTCAAAACTGCAGCTGATTTTTACCTTTTCACAAAAGAAGCCTGCCTTGCTGTGGGCTGGGTTCATTCCGGGATTTAACAGCATCAGAAAGAAAACAGAGAACCTTTGGGTTGTAGGACAGAGGCAGGGCTCACCTGGCACCTGGACTTCTTGTTACCTTTGTCTCTGGCGTGGAGGAAGAGAGATGGCATCTGTTGGACAGAGGAGTTTGTTTTTCAGGGATGGCTTGTTTGGTCTGCCTTCCTGGGCCAACGCGCAGAGTCTAGAGGGCTCCGGCAACCCCACTGGGGTCTGGACATCCCCTCAGTGAGTTCTCATAGCTTGGGTCTAACCCTGGTCATGTTGGATTTTCATTCCTCCTTGCCTTAAGGTGGTTTTTTGTTTGTTTGTTCATTTGTTTGTTTAAGACGAAGTCTCACTCAAGTTGAAGTGCAGTGGCACAATCTCGGCTCACTGCAGCCTCTGCCTTCTGGGTTCAAGCAATTCTCCTGCCTCAGCCTCCTGAGTAGCTGGGATTACAAGCACCTGCCACCACACCCAGCTAATTTTTGTTTTTTATTAGAAGTGGGGTTTCACCATATTGGCTTGGCTGGTCTTGAACTCCTGACTTCAAGTGATCCACCCACCTTGGCCTCCCAGTGAAGGTGTTTTATGACCATTCTTTTACCCTCTCCTCTGACTCAGGGCATCCCTCCCCCACTCAGAGACCACCATCAAGGGTCAAGGGTATAACTAGTCCCAATTCCAAACTGAGAGGCCAAAGGTGCTGGCCAGGCAGATCATGCTTTTCCTTCCCGCACCTGTTGGGTCTTCGAATCCCTTCTTTGGTGCAGGCTTTGGAAATGCCCATGGTTTTCTGTGAGTGGGTCCTTTTCCTACCATGCCCAGGTTGAACTCTCTGTCTGCCTACCCGGCGTGCTGGGAAGGGGCGTGCGTTTATGGTCCCTGTCCATTATGAGGTCCAGTCTGCTGTTGGCAGTTTCTCTCTTGAGCCTGCCTTGGTGTCCTCAGGGCTTTGCTCCCCAGGCTCCCCCGAGTGGCTCCTGTCTCTCTCTCGTTTGGATGCAGTGCCCATGAGTTTGCACGCGTGCACAGGTATCCCTCTCACCCTCTTGGAACAGCTTGCAGGACTCTGTGAACTGACCCCTGTACCTACTTTTGGGCACCCTGTGATAAGCAGTGTCTTCCTGAGTGCCCCCTTCTCACTATCGACGTCAGAGGCCCCATTCTTTCAGTCTCGGCAGAAGTGTGTGTTAAGCTCCCACCATGTGCTCCCAGGTATGTGAGCTACTATTTAGAAAGGCCAAACTGGAAACAAAAAGTTCAGCAGAGGTGGAAGAGTAGACACAAATACTAGGAAGGACATAGACAGCGCACACGCACGCAGAGGATGTGTTGTGGTGAACTACCCTTTGCGTGTCTTTGTGTAAGTGACAATGACGTCGGGCAGTGCGCTGATGGCCTGGCTAGTTCTGACAGGATCTCACACCCACCGTGATTAGGACTGAATAAACTGCTGAAACAGGGGCTTAAAGCTCAAGGTGAGTTCAAAAGCTATAGGATCAAAATAGATGGCTTCATGCTAAAAAGCAGACATGGAAGAAATTAAAAATATAGTCCCAAAGGTTTAATGTTGCCTTTTAACTGTGCTCAATTTCATATTCATATCCTAAGCGTCTGTCTGAAGTAGCCTGGGTTGATATAGTGAAGGCATAAACATATCTACTTCCAGTGAGGGCTTCTGCAAATCCTATTTTGATAAGGTCTTAAATCTGTTGAGATCAGGCCATAAAATTCTCCTGCAGTTTCAGCAATAGGTAAAAACAGTACTCAGTGCTTTTTTTTTTTCCCCTTTTAATTTTGCATTCAGACTGTGTAACCTCCATCTGTAAATCTTACCCCCCACCCCACCACCACCTGGGGAAAAATATGGGCAACATGTGGTGTGTTAAGCAACATTTCAAGTGTAAATATTAAACTTGGTTGGTAAATTTTAATTTACCTTTTAATAATTTTCTGACTTACAGGGACTATTTTTAGCAGATGAGAGCTTAGAGATTTAGTGAAAAATATGTTGTAATAACTGCAAATGCCAGACTAGAGTCATTTGTAGTTTAGAAATGTGTCAGATAATAAGTTCCTCATCAGTGGGCATTGCTTTCCTAGGTGATATGTGGAATTTTGGCCCATGGATGACTGAGGTTTTGGCTAATGTGATTAATACCATTAAATTACTTACAGAATGCCAACTAAATGCATACAAATGTTCCCTGAAGAAGAGCTCTATTAAGTTTATTCTTCATTTCTGACAGCAGAATCCCAGGTTGCTATTTAATTTCAGAAAATCCTGTCAGCAGGTGGCTGTTCGTGGAGGGTTCCGGGTGTGAACTCTGACGGTCACCGATCGTGCTGAGGTTTCAGGAAAGCTTGGGAATTAACATGCAGTAAAGAACCCGCTGGCAGAACGTTGTTAGTCCTTAAACTCTTATGTGATTTGCTGTTGATACAGAAATCTATCCTTTGAAGATGGCCTCTGAATGGAAATGTACTCTGGAAAAATCCCTTACTGATGCTGCCAAATTTCCTCTTCCAATGGAAGTATTTAAGGTAAGATGTTGATCATTAGCAGTGTATCTATCTACTTTTTTTGATAACAAAACCGCCTAAAAAGTTTTCCACAGCAAATCCTTTGCACTTGAGAAAGACACCTTCTTAACCAGTTCACATTTTAAATGTTTAAGGTTTTGTCTGTTTCATGTTGCTGTTTTTAAAAATAATATTCATAATGACCCATAGTACAGGATGTGATTAAAATTGTTTAGGTTTACTGTTTTTCTTTGCAGAATATTGTTATGGAAATACTTTCGCCCCCTCACTTTCTACTACAGAAACAAAGGAAATAGAGCAAGTCGTAATTTTGATGTTTAGTAAAAATGGCAGAAAATGATGCATGCCGTGGTTCAATTTTCTTGACGTCTCGAGGTTCTGCTAAGTACTAGACCTTCCACAGGCACTCGCATGACGATGAAGAGCTTATGAAATGCATCTCCACTGAAACAGCCACCAAATTCTTTACACTTCGAAAATTACACTTCACACTTACATGAAAGAGGATATTAGGTTCTGGACAGGGATGGTCCATTCAGGTCCATCCAAGGAAATCATAAAACAAGACCTGTCTTATTTGGAACTCAAGTGCGGGTGGCTACGCAACACCACTGGTGTCCTTGGACGGTTCTCAGTGTGGTTGTGACAGACAGACATCCAGCAGCTTCCCAGCCCTGGGGCGGCGCGTGTCTGCAGAGTCATAGAAGTTTCATGTAGAGGATGTACTTAATGTGTGTTTGGGCACCCCGCAGAGCAAGAGTTTAAGGATTCCTTAGGGGGCAGGGCTTCCTGGATTCTGTTGACGCCCAGCCCAGTCCTGTCAGCCTTTTAAACAGTTGTGGCAAATCATTGACCCCTTCGTTCAGAGCTTCCCCTGTTTTTAAAATTGGACTCGTTAAGACCGCCTCCTCGACTTAGCCGTGTAAATGTGTTCTGATATTTAATGGAGTGATGATTTTTACAGTGTTTGGGGCCTCTTGTACTGGAGGAACAGTGTGTAGATACCTCACCAGGAGCGTGCTGTTGAGTGACAGGGAGGCACTGCTGTCACTTGTTGCCTCACTGACCAAATCCTCCGCCCTCCCCCTCTTTGTCTTCCTTTTCCTCCCCTTCAGCAGAAGCAATGGTGGTAACCCCTCACCTTCTTAAGATTCGCTCACAGACCGGGTGCAGTTGCTCACACCTGTAATCCCTGCGCCTTGAGGCCGAGGCAGGAGGATGACGAGCCCAGGAGATCACTCCTGCCTCGGCTTGCTCTTTTCTCCCTTTCCTTCTTCCTTCAGTACTGTCCTCCCCTTACAAAAAGGGTCAAGAAAAGCAGCCTTCAACGTGGGACCTGTCGGCTCTGCTACCCCCGCCCGAGCCAGCCTGCCCTCGTCACCCGCTCTCCTTTTCCTTCACCGCGGCCTCAGTCGTATTTGAATGTGAATCAAATCCAATCACCTCCTTCACCCTTGAAAAAATAGATTTTATTTTGAAGTACCTCATACATACATGTGAGGGGTTCAAGGAGTGGGCCAGTGAAAAATGACAGATGTCCATCATCTGGTCTCGGCCTCAGAGCAGCCAGAACAGCGAAGCCCCCTCTGCAGCCCCAGGCCTGCCATCCCGTGGGGCTGGAGCACCTGGGGCCTCATTGCTGTTCGAATCCTGCCCGGGTGTGCCTTTCTAAGCAGGATGCTGATTCCAGTTGGCAGGATGGGAAGTGGGCACCGTCCTCTTTGTTCAGAGAGGGCCCTTTCCCTACTCTGAAGAGGGAAGAAAGCTGGATGTGGTTTGGGCACCAAATTGGCTTTGCTTTTCCTCAGAGTCAATGAGAGGATTCAGTAGGTAAAGTTGTGAGCTAATCTTTTTTGTTTGATTTTTGGAGAAAGGGTGTCACTCAGTCACCCAGATTGGAATGCAGTAGGGTGATGGTAGCTTGCAGAAACGTCAGACTCCCAGTTTCAAGCACCCCTCCTGCCTCAGCCTCCCAAGTAGCTAGAACCACAGGCATGCCCCAGCACCCCCAGCTAATGTATTAGTTTGTTCTCATGCTGCTAATGAAGACATACCTGAGACTGGGTCATTTATAAAGGAAAGAGGTTTAATTGACTCACAGTTCAGCAAGGCTGAGGAGGCCTCAGGAAACTTACAATCACATCAAAAGGGGAAGCAAACACATCATTTTTCACAAGGCAGCAGGAAGGAGAGTAAGAGCTGGATGAAGGGGGAAGCCCCTTGTAAAACCATCAGATCTCATGAGAGCGTACTCACTATCAGGAGAATAGCATAGGAGAAACTGCCCCCGTGATTCAATTACATCCCACTGAGTTTCTCCCACGACAGTGGGAATTACGGGAGCTGTAATTCAAAATGAGATTTGGGTGGGGACACAGCCAAACCATATCAGCTAATTTTTAGATATTTTTTTTTTTGTACAGATAGAGTCTCACTGTGTTGCCCAGGCTGGTCTCAAACTCCTGGGCTCCAGTGATTCTCCTGTCTCAGCTTCCTAAAGTGCAGAGATTACTGGTGTGAGCAACTGCACCTGGTCTGTGAGCAAATCTTAAGAAAGTGAGGGGTTACCACAATTGCTTCTGCTGAAGTTGTAACATGAACTGGAGGTTACATACCTTAGAAAGGTGGGCAGGGGTCGGTTGGTTCATGTTGTCTGATTTGATGGCTTAGCTCTCAGGAGCAGGCTGAAGTTGAGTGTTTCTTTGCAGTGAAATGAGTGTTCTCATCTTGTCCAGGCAGCTGGGCCAGGAGTAGCACTCAGGAATCTCTTTAGTGTCGTCAAAATAAGCTGAATATTGTTAACAATCTTGGCTGGCTCACTTCAGCATCCTGTCCTTAGGTTGCAAAGATGATAAAATGCTGTCTATGTTTTCTCACTAAAAGTGGCTAAAAATGTCTATCCTATCAGTATACTTTATTGATAATTTGTGTGGGTGTAGAATTTTAGGTGAGCTGTCATTTGTCTCAGAATCAGAGGTTTTGGCTGGGGTGTGGTGGCTAACACCTGTAATCGCAGCACTTTGGGAGGCCGAGGTGGGCAGATCCTTTGAGGTCAGGAGTTCGAGAGTAGCCTGGCCAACATGGTGAAACCCTGTCTCTACTAAAAATACAAAAAAATTATCTGGGCATGGTGGCACGCACCTGTAATCCCAGCTACTTAGGAGGCTGAGGTAGGAGCATTGCTTGATCCTGGGAGGCAGAGGTTGCAGTCAGCTGATATTGGACCACGGCACTCCAGCCTGTACAATAGAGCATGACTCTGTCTCAAAAGAAAAAAGGTGTAGGGGGTGATTAGAATGTAGTGGTCAGCCCCTGGAGGGTGACATGTGAGCTACTTTTTGTCCTCTAGTTTTTCCTCTCTGGCTGATTTCCCAGGGAGAGTTTTTCAGTCTCCTAGTCTCCCACTTGGGACTCCAGGTCTGACTGCCAGTGTTTCAGGAGCCACGTGGGGAGTGGAGGGCTGGGGTGTTTCAGGCATATCTCATGGGACTCATTTCTCAGCCTTTCCAAGCTTCGGCAGGAGTCAATGTGTTGGCCCTCAGCTTTTCTGCTGAAGGCCTGGGATCTGGCTTTGCTGAATGTGTTGAATTACTCACTTCTTCATCAGCTTTTTTGCTTCCTTACCTTTGTGTGCTGAGTGGGTTTGTGTATTTTTTTTTTTTTAAGTCTCTGGACTGTAGTTTTGGTTAGAGTTTTGGAGGAGGTGAAATGAATGTGGGTTTTTTAACCTGGCACTGCCATTGAAAAGAATCTTGTTGTTTGGACTCTAGGGTACAATCAAGCCGCCACATCCTTCCTGGACACACTGAGCCTGGTGGGATTTTTCACGTACTTCCCTGTACAGTGTCTCCTTTCATGCCCCTCCTCGCTGTGCCAGGGGTGCAATTGTTATGCTTCTCTAACACCCCTTGTACCTTGATATGGCTTGTCTCTGTGTCCTCACCCACATCTCATCTTGCGGCTCCCAGAATTCCCACATGTTGTGGGAGGGACCCCGTGGGAGGTAACTGAATCATTGGGGTTGGTCTTTCCCGTGCTGTTTTCTGGTGACAGTGAGTAAGTCTCAGGAGATCTGATGGCTTTCAAAATAGGAGTTTCCCTGTTAAGCTCTTTTCTCTTGCCTGCTGCCATGGGAGACGTGCCTTTCAATTTCCACCATGATTGTGAGGCCTCCCCAGCTAGGGGGAGCTGTCAGTCCAAGAAGCATCTTTCTTTTGTCAATTGCCCAGTCTTGGGTACATCTTTATCAGCAATGTGAAAATGGACTAATACGTACCTGTTTTGTTCTTTCTGTTAAAGTCGTACTCATTTTTCATTCTCAAATATAGATTCCCTAAAGGAATCCTTCCCCAGATCCCTGGCCCCGTCCCAGAGGAACTTGAGCCTCTGTTAGGTGTCCTTCAGCAGCTTGTTTTGTTACAGTTATGATTAATCATTTGTACAGTTCCTTTTATGATGCCTGTCTCTTTTTGCCTAACTTTAAGCTCCAGGAAGCCAAGGACTGTGTCTTTCTTGTCTGTTCTTAGGAACATACTTTTTTGACCATGGTAGGATTCAGTAAATACCTATCAAATAAATGCATGAATTCATGAATGGACATACGTCTTCAACTCCTTGAATTTAATTTTTGTTTTTTGGAGATAGCCTCACACTGTCACTCACGATCTCGGTGTGGCTGCCTGCAGCCTCTGCCTCCTGAGTTCAAAGGATTCTCCTGCCTCAGCTTCCCAAGTAGCTGGCATTACAGGTGTACACCACCAGGCCTGGCTAATGTTTTTTGTATTTTTAGTAGAGACGAGATTTCACCATGTGGGCCAGGTTGGTCTTGAACTCCTGAACTCAAGCAATCCACCCACCTCGGCCTCCCAAAGTACTGGGATTATAGGTGTGAGACACCGTGCCAGGTCTGAGTTTAAAATTTTTGAGTTCATATACAGATTAAATGGATATGCACACTTATTTAGAACTGTGAATACTAAGACTCAAAAGGTATACACATT